CATTCAAGGTTGTGGGGTTTCTTCTGTATAAAACAAAAATCAATCCAGAGTTATCACTATTCTTGTATAGAGGAAAACTCACTCTTCAGTAAAAATTGGTGGTGTGATAGATAAATACCTTTGGATTGGATTGTTCCACTTAATTTTCTGGTGCAAACTCCTTCTTTTATCAAAGGCAACTTTTTCATTTAATCTAGGTAAAAAACTGTGCCCAAGTATGAAGGCAGTCATTATTTTGTAAGCCTCGGTAAGAGAGGTGCAGGCAAAGCCACTTCAGCACAAGGACACTGAATGAGAGCTGAACTTGCTGGGGTAGGAGCTGAGGTTCTGTATTTTTTCCAGAGTGACCTAAATATTTGTGTCTGCTATTTACAACCCTCCCTTCAGCACCCTGGCCTGTCAGTTTTACCAGATATTTTTTTATTTTTTTCTGAAGGAAAAATCAGAGTTGAATTTGGCAGGCAGAAAAGCCAAGCTAAGCCCCATGACCACCAAAGCAGTCTTGTGGAGTACAAAACCCTGTGGTGCAGTTGCAAATACCTGTGTTCTCTCATCTCGCACCGTGGGTGGGTTTTGTTTTTTGTTTTCTTTCAATCTGCTGCTCTTAATAGTTGCTTATGGAAGTGTCATGGTGCTGCTGCTTTTCTTCTACTTCTAGGAAGCTAAGTGTAATGTAAAAGGAGCTAAATGTAGAGAGACTGGGTTTTGTAAGCCTGTGTTAAGACTGTGGGAAGACTGTTCTGTAGAGGGGCAGGTGAGTCCTGTGCAAGCCCAAACGCAGGAGGGAAACATCCATGCTGAGATGAGACTTGAAGGAATTCTCATCTAGGAGGCTTAAATAAGTAAACCAAAGTGAAATAAACTCTGTCACTGACTGCACAGGCATATTATTTTAGCCAATTTTTTATCGTATTTTTTATTCCTGTATTTCTCAGAGGCTGTGAACATAAGTAGTTATTTGACGTCCTGAAATCATTTAGCAGACACACCAACCCATGCAGTTTCTTGCTTTTCATTTGAAGTGATGATTTCTGTTAACTTTAAGTACCTCTGCCATAGCACACAAGAGTTAAGAGCCAGCCAAAGCAGAGCTCCTGGGAACATCTGTCTGCTGTGCAGCAGAGACAGCCAGAGCAGCACTGAGGATGCTTCTTGTATGGCGTAGGCTTTATGTGGGAGAATTGTGGATGTGCATATAAAAGCAGGCACACAAAACAGGATTAAGGCATTTTCTTCCTACACCGGATGTGCTTAGCACAGATGAATAGCTGACCTCTGAGAAAGCTAAAGTGGGATAGCTACTTAGGGAGATAAAATGATGCAGTGCACCTACTGCTTAAAGAAACAGCAAGAGTATTGTTCCAGAGCCTACGCGAGGATTTTTCTGTTCTTGCTGAAGCTAATAGCAAAGTGCCTCAGTGGGAGTGGGGCCAAACTGTAGTTTGAGATCCTCATAACTTTTCTAGTGACTACCTATTTTATTCCAAAGACAAGTGTGCTTTGATATTTGAGGTGTGTAGTCCAGCTGTACATTTTTTTAAAATGTTGATTACCAATTATAATTCACTGATCTCCAAAGTAACATATAAATGCCTCTTAATGGCCTTCTGTCAGTGCCCCTAGATGCAATCACAGGTTAGATACGTAATTGTCCTCAGAGTGCTCATGCTTGAGATTTTTCTGCTCTGACACAATCCTACTGGCTTTAGCAGGGAGTCTTACAAGCTCGGGCTGCCTGGGAAGCAGCACCAGCAGATCAGACAGGTCTGGTGGTACAGGGGGCTCCTGTATTTGCGATGATGTAGAGGAGTTTCCTCCCTACTCTTCTGCCATGATGTTCCCATGGCTCAGCTGTTAGTAGAGCAGTGGTGAACTGGGTGTAGGATTTGGTCTTACTTAAAACCTCTCCTCTGCCCCCTTTTTATTTTATTTAAAATAATTCCGTGGTGCAGCTCACAGCAAGGCTCTGCAAAGCAGTTCATCCCAGAGTGGCTCCAAATACGGTGAGTTACTGTGAGAGGGCAAGCCCTGAGGTCAGTCTGGCCCCTCCTGGATGCGTGTTCACTGATAACCACACTTCATTTGCTGGAGTAGCAGCTGGCTCTAAATTAGTTGATTAAGAGCTTGTCTTATAGCACATTTTCCTCATGACAACGTGGCTTTCAGAGAGGTGGCTTCTGAAACCCAATAGAACTGGTGATGGTGAGCCAGCCCCTGAGCCTCATTCGTTACTGTGGACACGCGTAGTTTTAGAAATGGAGTACCTACATACAGGTTTCTTTTTTGTTTTTAATTATTCAAAGGTTAAATCTTTTTTTTAATTATTCAGTGCTTATTAAAAATTGACATACATAGAATAAGAAAAGATGCTATCAAATACAATATTTTACCTTTTTTTCTTCCTTGACAGCATGTAATCTTAGCAATGCAAATTTTTCCAAGAATTCACCAATGTTGAGTAATTAATTCTCTTGAGGAAAGACAAATCTAAAACAAAATTTTGTTCATTTTGGATTTGGCACTGTACTTCTAAGAGGGCGGTGATGTTTCTTAAAAACCCTCTTTAGTCATGTTTCAAGAGAATCTCTGAGCACTGAAAACTAATTCTGAGTTCTTTTTATTCGTGAAATGCGTTGTATCACAATGTGAGAGTTGACTGGCATCAGGCAGAAGGCTTGCCAGATGCCAGCTGCTAATGCAGGAGTGCTGAAGCGTTAGCTAGCTCCTGGGAATTCAAACTCAAGAGTAAAAATATACTGGGATTAAGATGTTTAACAAGAACTTTTCAGCAGTTTCTGTCTCTCAAGAAAACCTAGTTGATGACCAAGAGAAAGGCATATCTACCTCTTCTTACAGGTAACCAGTGACAGGACCAGAGGGAATGGCCTCAAGTTGCGCCAGGGGAGGTTCAGGTTGGAAATAAGGAGACATTTCTGCTCAGAAAGAGCAGTCAGGCACTGGGACGGGTTGCCCAGGGAGGTGGTGGAGTCACCGTCCCTGCGGGTGGTCAAGGAGAGGTTGGACGTGGTGCTTGGGGACATGGCTTAGTGGGTGACATTGGTGGTAGGGAGATGGTTGGACCAGGTGACCTTGGAGGTCTCTTCCAACCGTAATGATTCTGTGATTTTAGGATTATTCTTTCAGTAGATGAGCTAATGTTATAATGGATCCCTTTTTCACTAACAAAACTTAATTAGGGTAATAGGTTTGCTATGTTTTGTTGCTCCCTTCAAAGATGACAAAAAGGCAATCTATTTTTTTTTTTTTTTTAATGAAAATGTGATCACAGGATAGGAGCCAGCCTTCTGCTCATGACTGTATTAATGCAGAGGAGGGAGGGAAAGGTGACTTAAGGACGCTGTCTATGGAGTTGAGAAACTGTAAGGAGGCAGATTGTTAGCTTTGTAGCAGTCATTGGGAGACACGGGACAAATCATGTGAGATAGAAACTGGAGCATTCTTGTTAACAACAGGAGAATTAGCAATTACTTTACAGTTGTGCTGTCACACGCTGCCAGGGTTTCTGAGCTTTGTGTTAGTCATGCTCTTGTTGCCTCAGCGCCAGGAGTTCCTCTCCAGGGGATTTTTTATTTGGACTTGGTAGCCAAGTGTGGCTGAGGAAACAGCTTGTTTTGCAGCAGGGTTTTCAGAAAGCTCCTCCATGATAGAACATACGGTGGAGGTAAGAGGAGGCTGTGCAGAGAGACAGAGGTGTGGGAGCAGGTACAGGACAGCGATCCATCCCTGCCCCAGGCAGCAGCTCTCCTGCAGGGCAGAGGGCTCCTCTCTTCACCATCTCTGTTACGGTGAAGAGTTGTCTGAGAGCTCCCCGAGCTTCTGCATTAGCTCAAAGGCACAGCCCAGGGCTTATGATATATTTGCGTTACTCCAGCTCAGCTCTCATCCCAGTCAAGAGGATGCTTTTGCCCACACTAGAGCCAAGATGTAGATTGGTCCCCGTGGTTTTAAATCTCATCCTCTTTGCTGGGCTGATGGCAAAGGATAATTAGCACAGGGCTGGTTACATTTTAATTAGTTTCAGTTTTGTTTGGAGTGGGTGGGTGGTGGTTGTTTTGTTGGGTGGACTGGGAATTGGTGAGTTGTACCTGAAATGGAGGCATTGAAATGATCATAATGCTGAGTGGTACTTTAGAAATAAATATTTGATTGTGTAAAACAGATGCAGGAATCTTCAGGAAAGGACGCGAGAGAGATCAAGGTAAGATTCAAAGAAACAAGACACAGGACAAAAGCAGTAACCTTGGGGCAGCTGACAACATAATTACATCACTGCAACAACAACGAAAAAAAAAAAGAAACTTGGCCTTAGTCTTTCAGACAAAACAGCAAAATCACACCAAAGTCTTATGGGCTGCGTGTGACATTACATTGCCTGGGTCAAATTCTTGCCAGTGACACTTGCATAAATCTAAAGGGATGTCACCAAAGGTGCTAAAGTGGCATTCTGTCAGGATGCTACCAGGTCTATTATTAGCCCCTCCATTACACTGCCAAAAGGAGAATTCTCCAGCAGAGGCCATGCTTGAAAAACTACTGCCAGCATCTAGTTGTTAGCGAGAAAGAAGCAGTAATCTCCACGTTGTTTACATGCCTGGGGTGTCAGGATTCAGAAGCTCTCACAGCTCTTTAATTAATAGGTTAGTAAAAAATGAATATTTAGCTTAAACTGCATATTTATTTTTTTTAGAGCAGGAAAAACTGAATCAGTTTTGTACCAAGTCATGAGTGTAAGCATAAAATCATGGTATCACAGGATATCCTGGGTTGGAAGGGACCCACAAGGATCATCGAGTCCAACTCCTGGCTCCACGCAGGACCACCCAAAAATCAGACCTTGTGTCTGAGAGCGTTGTCCAAACACTTCCTGAACTCTGTCAGGCTCAGTGCTGTGACCACTGCCCCAGGGAGCCTGTCTCAGTGCCTGACCACCCCCTGGGTGCAGACCCTTTCCCTAACCCCCAGCCTGACCCTCCCCTGTCCCAGCTCCATGCCGTTCCCTCGGGTCCTGTCGCTGTCCCCAGAGAGCAGAGCTCAGCGCCTGCCCCTCCGCTCCCTGTGAGGGAGCTGCAGGCCGCCATGAGGCCTCCCCTCAAGGCGTGAAGGGAGCAAGGCAAACCCGAACAGAGGCACTGCAGCTGTTGGGGCATCGGTCGGCATGGAAGAGCAGACTGAAGACGACCACTGGAGCCTCCACCAAGTGGTGGTGGTCTGGGGAGGAAGGTTTCTTTTGAAAGAGTCTTGTGGCTTCCTCTGGAGCAGCCAGGGCTGGCAGAAAGCTGGAGTAGATGGAGAACAAACCGGTCTGATGATGCCATTGGGGATTCTCAGAAATCGCTGAAGGCAATGCTGTTACTTTGATTATTTGCTCCTAAGCTTGGTTTTGCTTTTCCCCTGTTGCAACTACCGCATCTGGTTTTATGGAAAGGAAGCAGGAAGCTTGGAATAACAATGTCTGAGGTTGCAGCTTGGCTTACTGCTGCTCTGCTGCCTGTTACCCCCTCCCCGAGCACAGCAACATCCATCCAGTGGCACTGAACTCAGTCTGCTGCCATTTCCTATCTTTCAGGATGCTTTGTAGCTCAGTTATGGCTTCTCTTCTCCTGCAATGGTATCATGAAAGGTTAATAAAAGCAGTAAAAACACAGCTAAGGCAGGAAGAAATCTCAGGGGAATAAACCAGTGTCTGAATTAATTCCTGCTACAGGCAGAAAGCTTTGCGGTACCTTCAGAGACTGCTTGCTTGAGTCCAAAGGAAAGGGACCATAAAAAGGTTTTGTTTCAGTGCAGAAGTTCTCAGAGTGCTTAGAAGCTTTATGAAACATCTCACCTTAAACGCTGGCATGGGTACATTTGCTGGAACTAGTGCATGGGAGATGGGGGACCTGCAGGAGGCACGAAGCAGGCCGCATTGTCCTCCTGGTGGAGCAGCAGTCAGAAGAGCAGCCAGATCCTGCTTCCACAGAAGCCATCAAATAGCACTAAGAATCTGAGCACCGAAACGCGCTGCCCAGGCTACTTCAGAGTGGGAAAATGTACCAGGGCAAGTCTCTGGAAGAGGTCCTGGCTGTGGTGCTGCAAGCACCAGGGCACGGGGGGCGTCTGGCAGTGCAGGAGCTGTCCTCAACAGATGGGAAAAGTGAGCAGGGCAGCCTGACCTAGGCAGCAAGGTACAAGGCATCAGGATCAAATCCCCAGCGTAACAAGATTTGAATTTACGAATTTTGCTGCATTCTTTCTGAGGTACAGAGTGGAATAAACGTGGATCCAGCTTTTTGTTACCCCGAATGTTGTGTGAGGCAAAGCGATTAATGCTATAAGGGAACTTTCACATGAGCAGAGCCCTGAAATTCGTTTTTTTTTTCTTAGTTAAATACAGTTAGGTGTCCTTTCCCTTCTGTTGACAGGTAGTTAAGAAAGGAAAACAGTGAAGAGGAAAACCTGCTCCAGAAACATGTAGGACCTGAGGGTAGCATAGAAGGAGCTAGGAAGGAGGGTGCAGACAGAGCCTTCACTAAGCCGGGGTGGAGAAAATGAACCCCCTCAGCTGCTACCCATTTGCAGTAATGAGATCTACAGCCAGTTTGTGACTTGAGGGGGAGTTACAGCACAGCAGGTGGGGCTGGTTTTGTATAACGCATTGGTTTTTCTTTTTATTTTCCGCCTACTTCTGCGTTTCTTCCTGCAGTAGGGTTTCAAGCAAAATTTTGCAGTGCATAAAGATATGGAATAGAAATTTGGCCCCATGTGGGAAACGCACAATGTTTCTGCTCCCTCTGAGGCAGAGGGGAAGAAAGAGCAGCAGGACTTGCCTGTGAGCTTTGCCGCAGGAGCCTGAATGGCCTGTGAGAGGCGAAGGTTAGTATTTTCACTGTATTGTATTTTACTGGAATTGTTGACCTAAAGAAAGTATATTCAGTAGGTAGCAGGGAAACACCAGTGATCAAACAAACTCAAAATCTGTATCCTTACGCTTCTGGTCTTACATGGGAATTTGCCTAATCTTTTTCTTAGCTAAAGTAAATGTAACTGTGTCCTCAGTGGGCAGAATACTAACACCTTCCATTTTCAAAGTGAAGTGTCAGAGCTTTTCAACACGGTATGGAACAGCTAATAAATTGTTTTGTGATATGAGGCTTTGAGCAGTTAGGTCTAAAGCAGAACTCTTTGTTTGGACTCATCTTCTGCAACAACTTTTCAGATGATCACACGTACATACTACTAACTTAAACATATACAAGACTCCCAACTTACAGAAACAATGAGTAAGTACCTGTTTCAAGCTCTTTGCTTCTATCAGTTTTGTTTTGTTTTTCTTCCTTGCTCTCTGTTCCTGGCTACAGGGGCTTGCTGAAGTCAGGTATGTTATTGGTTGCATTTTTGTGTTAAGAAATCCTAATTCAGAAAGTGGCATTGTGGTTAGGCAACCATTTTAAAACCAAAGCCAAGGACAAATCTGCTCTTTGGTGTTTTCTGTTACCTGCCTATACTCAGGCACTCTTTGTCTTGTGCTCTTTCTACCCCCGCTCCTCCTAGTATGTGGAGAAGTTCCTGAGTGACCTGTCGCCTCAGAATAATGATAAAAAGTCTCAGTGATTCACAGCTAAGACATGCAGAGTGCTCAGTTCTTTGCTCGTACTGTGAGGCAATTAATGCAATTTGTGCTGTTTGGCTGAGTGAACAGTTTGAAATGAACCATTGAGCCATCTGTTCCTCCAGCTGACATCAGGCATGTCAAGAGTAGCAGTCAGCTTTTGCTGGGAAAGAAACATCTCACTGTCATTAAGGAAAGTTCAGGAAAGGTTTGTTTCCCCCCGGTCTATGAAACTAACTTTCTTTCAGATTTTCTTGTGACTCAGACTACGTGCTGTGGAAACTTTTCTGGCCTCTAGTTAATGTATTGAGAGAAGATAAATGGAAACTCTGGCTATGTTGAGCACCTTCTTTTCTCTTTTTTTGCATGACTTTGGTGGGAGAGGGAGGTACCCATCACAGTCTGAGTTCTACACAATTATTTTGTTCTTCCCTTGCTTCATTCACCTCTGAATGCTTCTTTCTTGAGCTGAAGGCTTCAAGAAATTGTCTCCCTTGAAACCAGCTCTCGGGTTTCCAGAAGGCCTTTTGGATGTCATATTTCAGCTGCAGTAACTATTAAAAGATACCTGCTACAACAAAAACTCATTATCTCATTAGTAACAGGAAGACCAGTAAAAGGTCTGGCCTGCTTTTCAGCGGAGAGGAAGAGCAGCCTACAGATAATACTGAGGAATTGGATGTTTGATTGCTCTTCATTTGTGCTCACTGAGAAAGTTAGAGGGAACAGATGGCTCGTGCAGCTAACACGAGTGGTGAAGGGGATAAGGTGAGCCTAAGACAGGGAAGGCATAACTTAGAGAAGATTTAAGCAGGCTGTTTTAAGGCTAACCAGGCCTGGTGAACTGCATCCCTGGGTGAGCAGGGAATTGTTGAAAGCAATTTCAGGAGCTGTGGTCAAAATTTCTGAGATCTGGTTTTGGGCAGGCAAGATACTGGCAGATCGGGAAAGGCTGAGGCGGTGCCCATCTTTAACAAGTGCGTGTACTGTGGGGTAGAGCAAACTTAGGGATTTATAAAGCAGTTTACATCAGCTTGAAACTTTCAAGACACGTTTCCAAAACAATTTGAAAGCACCTATAGGAGAAGTGACTGATTTTAAAAACAAACAAAAGACAAACTACATCAAACCAAGTTAATTTCTTTCTATGAAAGAGTGGCCAGAGAAGAAGCTCTAGAGGTCCTCTATCTTGATTTGCATGTCTGTGACATGTAAAGCTAAGAAGATCCTTAAGGTCATTGAGATGCCAAGCTGGGTGGGTGGTGTACCTCGAGGGCAGTTGTCACAGCAGACAACATCGCAAGCTTTCCTTTACTGTCTGTTCTGGAGCAAGTCTTTTAATGGGTTCATTAATAGTCAGTGATGGACAAAGGAGTATTCTTATCATTTGCAAAATGTAAATAAGTAAGGCAGAATCTGAATTCAAGATGTTTTCAACAAATAGGAAAAATGGCCTAAAAAAAAAAAATCAACTTGGACAAGGTCAAGATAATACTCTTAGGCTGGAATAATCAAATGCACAGTGCAGGATGACAAAATACACTGTTTAACAAGAAAGATCTAAAATGCAGTGAGATGGTGGTGTGGACCACGGAGTAAACAGGAATTGACTGTATGATGATAATGAGAAAAAGACAAATACCACTCAGAGATGTTTAGTTGTATAACCAGTAGGACTTTTAAAGCAGTCCACTCCTTCTATTCAAAAATCGCTTTAGAAGGTGGTGAGGCACTGGCACAGGTTGCCCAGAGAAGCTGTGGATGCCCATCCCTGGAGGTGTTCAAGGCCAGGCTGGACGAGGCCCTGAGCAACCTGGTCTAGTGGGAGGTGTCCCTGCTCATAATAGAGGGGTTGGAACTAGATGGTCTTTAAGGTCCCTTCCAACCCAAACCATTTTGTGATTCTGTGATGTGCTCTGCTTGTCTTGCTGAGGTATGCTGGGCCTGTGCTAGGTTGGCACATCCTTTACTATAGAAAGTATTTGTGATAAATGGATGATAAATTAACATATTTTATAGTCCAGTAGCCCATATAGCAGAAGAAAGAACTATTACCTTAAGCACATAAACACTATATAATGAAATAATTTTTAATGAAGAACTTATGTTCACCAAGGCCTGTGGTTATTGTACTGTTTTTTCATATACCAAGAACTGCAGCCAAACCAAGTTACATGGCTCATCTCTGTTTTGTGATCATTTCATTTGTTCATAATTAATATGCCCTACATCCTGTGATCCCAAGCAGTAGCATCTGAGAGGTTTTTTTTTCTTTCTCAGTAGTCAGTAAACAAGCATCTGTCTGAGACACACTTGGCGTTGTTTAACCAATAGACAGTTGTGTTTTATGGGACTGTGGCACACTGGGCCCAGTTCCAGTCCCACTGGAAATCCCTGGTCCTGCTCCAAGGAATTCAGTACGAGGATGGCAGAGCTGTCAGGGCCCAGTGATTTTGTTTTGGTAGGTGGATCCGTCCATGCCTTGCTGGCAGCTCTTTGCCGGTATGGGTGACACCAGTCTGGAGCTGTTGGCTGTCCTGCCTGGGTAGGCCTGGGTTTATGTGCTTTGCGCCAGGCCGTGAGACCGATGGGCAGCAGGCTGTAGTAGCTGATCTATCAACTAGGGATGTTTTTTGCAAAAGTTGTTTCTAAACAGTGCCCAAAGACATTTTGGCTGCCTCTGTGCTTGTTTTTTTCTGGTAGCGTGTGATGTTTGTACCTATTTATGTGGAGAGCTGGCCAGGATTCCCTAACAGGCAGCGTCTGGTTGGAAACTGATGAGGAGGCCAACTGTGCTGCATGTCTAACAATTTGGAACAAAGTTTCACTATTGTCTTGTCTATTTTAGTAGTTTAAAAATGAAAGAAGTAATATTATTCCCCCTTTGGCATGGGTTCTGTGTTATTCCTTGCTCTCAGCAAGGCTTTATATTTCATTTTATCTACTCAAGGTAAAATCCCCTTATCACCTACACCTACTAAATAACCTTTCCCAAATCCTTTCTCTAGAGTATTTTACCAGGCTATCATTCACAAAGCCAGTTCTCCTGTTTGAGGTGCGGAGTTATCTCTTGACCTTACAAAATGCATCTCAGGCCAGGGCTCTCTGACCAGAGAGAGCGGGGAGTGCTGAGGGAGGCTGGCAGGGAGGAACAGCTCGGCCTGAGCCGCAGCTGCTGCCTCTTCTCTTCCTCCTCCTCCTCCTCTTCCTTGCTGCTGCTGCCGCGGCTTCCCACGCTCCTCCAAGGGAGCGGGAGTGCCAGCTCCCAAAGATATTAATGAAACTACTTGAAATGTCAAAGGAAATTGTTTGTTTATTCTTCAGAGGAGGCAGGCCAGAGCTGCTTTGAATGCCCCAGGGCTCCTCAGGTTCTCCCAGGTTCATGAGTATGGTGATAGTTACGTGGTATCCAAATATTCTGCGGGCTGTAGGAACATTCTTCTGTCAGGGCAGATGGTGTTCGACTGATAGTTAGAATAATACATGAACAGCAGAGAAGATGTGGGTTGATTAAGTAATTAGCATACTGTGACATTCGATTGCTTAGATGTAACTTAAAGCTAGGTCAAAATGTTCATCTCTGTTGTGCCTCCCTTCCTCCTTTCCTTCTTCTGTTTGCTATTATATTCACTCCAAAGGGAAGTTTTAACAGAAATTAAATCCCTTCTTGGTAGAAAAAATGTAAGAATTTGTTACTTGGCCCTGCATGTTATGGAATAAAAATAATATAAAGGAAATTAAATTTTGCTAAATGAATTTAAGTTGCCAGGCAACCTGTCATATGCAGTGTGGTATCTACTCGAGCATTATTACAGGCAAACAGCTTAATATGTGGTGCAGATCAGTGTTTGGACCAAAGTGGATGATGTCAGGAAGCCAGGACAGTGGGGACTGGAGGGAGGACAGGAGGCTAGTCTGCACATGTGCCTGAATTGCTCTTGCCTTCATGGTTTGTTTGCGTGTCCACCACAAGCCTAATTAGTTAATCTGATCAACTCTACCCCCTCCCGTCCCTCTGCTCTGTAATTGTACAATAACAATAAGCAGTTTTCCATCAACTGAGGAATAAACACAGAAAGCTTGTGTTTCTCTCAGGAAGGATATCACATTCACTAACTAAATACAACCCACTGAATTACTCATCCTCTCCAAACCCTGTCATCTTCTCTTGTTTTTTGGAGGGTTTCTCTGCATAAAAATGAAAAAAGTTGTCCCATTGATAAATCATTTTCCTATAAAATGTTAGTGCTGATTGAAAAGAGAG